GCATGAGCCGCGTGGACCTAGGTGGGCGCCCCCCAAAGGCCCGCTCCTCCTGCCATGGGCCCCGTTTACCCACAAAGCCCGGGTCCCCAGCACTGCCGGCTGTGCTCTGGCTACCAGGCAATGGGACAGTCCCCGCCACGTCCACTCAGGAGTGCCAGGGTGTCAGGACACCAAACAGCCCACCACCGGGCCGCAGAGGACAAGAGCGACAGTGGTCCCTGTGGAAGCAGCCCTCAGCGTCCCAGGGCCAGCGCAAGGTGACACAGGCCCGGCCAAGTCCTCGTGCTGGGGATCTACAAGAGCCAGCTGCGGTCTGCAGCTGAGGGAGCCCGAGAGTAACGGGTCCCGCGTGCAGGAGGCTCGGTGACTGCTCTGTGACCCCGACCAGCTCTCTGAGCTGCAGCCACCCTGGGTAGGAAGCTCAGCCTCTGCCCCTGGTTGGCGCAACTACCTCCTCCTTTACCCCACATTCTCAAAGCAATATGAGCTCGTATAGACAGCCTCCGACTCACGGTGATCCTCCTGCCTCAGCCTCCTGAGTGCTGAGGTCAACACATGCTTCACAGAGCCCTCTTGCTGACACATGGGCGTCCTCAGAGGAGCCACAAGGCCCGGCTCTGCACTGGGCCAGGAAGGTAGGCTGCATAGGGACTCCCGCCACCCTGTGTCACCCTGGACCCGCCAGCAGGGCGCTGAGCAGGGCCATGCCTGCCCCATCATGGAGCCTGGCTCAGGCCGAGGTGGTCTAGTTGGCCCCTGGAGTGTCCACTTCTGGGCTGGTCCCTCAGCTGGGCAGGAGAGAGGTCCACCGTCCATGCCTCCGTCTCAGGGCTGGGCACAAGTGCCACCCACCCCAAGGGGCCCGTGCCAGTGACTTACTTGTGTGCTGGGCAGGGCGCCAGCGCTGCACTGCCTCGGCCTCTCTGGTGGTGGCCAGCCAAGGTCACAGTGTCCACACCAGGAGGGCCCCACAGACCCCGGGTCACCCCGAATCCAGCGTGGCCGCATCCCCGGAGCGCGCCAGGGCGGGAGCGGGGAGCCCAGGTTCCCTCCACCCACACTGCCGGAAGCCGGACGCACCCACCGCAGGAATCCTGGGCAGGGCCTAGCGCCCAGGAAACGGGGCCAGAGGTTCCCGCTGCCTCCAGGGCACCCCGCCCAGCTGCTCCTCCTGGGGTGCGCGGCACAGGCCCCCAACCCAGCCGGGAGCACCGTCTGCCAGGCCCACGCTCAGCCACTGCCCACGTGGGCACCATCCCACACATGGCCGGATGCAGTCACCCTGAGTTCCAGAGGGGGCGCAGCAGGGTGGGAGAGGCAGGCCGCTCTCCGGGAGCCCGAGTCCCCCACTCTTTCCGCCTGGGCCCCCGAAGCACAGTCTTGGTGGTCACTGCCTGGCCAGTGCCCAGGACCATTACCGCAGCTTCTTCCCTCTGGGGTCCTCCTCTCCGTAGACCCAGGTCCTGGCGTCCACCCCTTCCATTGCCTTCCTGGATCCCGCCCCAGGCCATGCGGCCACCATTTCCTGCATGGCCTGCTGCAAGACTCACTCACTATCCGTCCTGCAAATGGCGGCAGGAGATGCGCAGAGCAGTTCCAGGGCTCCCTGGGCACCCCTGTGCCCGCTGGGAAGGGACTAGCCCGTCTCTGTGGCAACTGCCACCAGCCCGAGCCACTGACCACAATGGTGAACGTATGGCACATGCACGCGCAGTCCCCGCACACAGCTCCGCAGGTCTGCGTGGCCACCGGGACACAGTCAGTGCCACGCACTGTAAGCGCCACGGCAGGACATATGGGGGACTCCTGTCAGGCCAGGCAGGCTGCACCTCCAGGAAGCCACGTGGTGAGGAGGTGGACCCGCTCTTACAGACATCCAGCCCGCGTCAGCAGTAGGGGGCGCTCTCGAGGACAGGACAAGCTCTCCAGATGCACAGGCTGCTCACTTCCACCAGCCCATTTTACAGACAGGTATACTGAGGCTCAGTGAGGCACAAGACTCACCCTGAACTCAGGCCTCGGCTGTTGGTTCTAGAGCATGTGCTCTTCTAAACGTGAAGGGCATCCTGCCCCATGGTGACCCCAAAGGAGAAAAATCGCCACTATTACCACCATCATGTCCGCCCCAGGTGTCAGGACCATCTCATTCTGCTCATGTGTATACCAACCACAACAGTGGCTTACTCCTCTGACCCTGAGACAGCCAGAGACAGACTGGAACTAGCTGGAAAGTACAAAGTAGTTTAGCAAAACTGGCAGCACATCCTCCGTAACCCAGCACGCGGGAGGCTGAGGCAGGAGGATTGCTGGGTGTTGGAGGCCCACCTGAACTACATAACCAGACCCTGTCTCAAAACAACAAAACATGACAAACTAAAACAGAGTGGAAAACTCTAGACTTCAGAGGCGCTAAGAAACACAGGTCCAGCGAGTTTCACTAACGTCCACCACCACTGCACCGCACTGACCTCTCAGCACGGGTACAGCCCTTCAAACGGACTATGAGCAGGATCCGCGGGATCCCTCCGGCCACCGGGCCAGGACCTGCAGCCCGCACCTGGGGTTAGGGGACAGAGAGCAGATGCTTAAAACAGGGGACAGGGGGAGGAGGGCGGAGCCGATGGGATCCTCGCGTGTGCGAATTCCCAGAATAAACAGTTTCAGCGTTAGCAAAGTTCGCCAGCTGTAAACCGCTCTGCCCTGGCATGTGTTATACGGACCAATAAATTCTCTACTTTGTTATCTTGCGGTGATAATTTTGCAGTTTATAGCTACGCTGTGTAGTCTACCTGGAGGATTTTGTATTTGAAGGTTTGCATCTAAATGGACCTTTAGACCATCTAAAATATCATCTGATCTGCCACAAAGATCTTACACTAACTCCCAGCAGCCAGCGAGCTCACAGAGACTGACACCCTAGATACAGACCTCTCACACCCCGAGACTGAGTCTAAGTCCCGTGACACACTGTTCACGCAGGAAAAAAAAGATAAAACTGGCCGTACGTTAAAACAGTTAAGGGTTTTCAACCTCAAAAGAGCTGAGGGAGGTTTGAAAGGTGAAAACCAAACACAAAAGGAAAACGTAATGCAGGTGACGGTGGTCACTCGGCCACCTTCTCCAGGGGCCAGGGGGCCAGCACGGGAGTCCGCTCCTGCACACGAACGAATTTGTTTCTTCTGACCTCTGTGCTTCGAAATTGTCGACTCCACCACTGAAATATGCTGTGTGTTCCAACAAGTGCCAGGCGGCTGTGATGTCAGACCAGCCCATCTGTGCTGCCAGGGTGTATAATTTCGGGCTATAGTGGATTCTATATAGCAGCGACCACGTGAGAGCGCTTTGCGTGGTATTTCTCAAGAAACAAAAAATAGAGAAAACGAAAGGAAAGGGGTGAGCGTGTCCGGGGTGGAGCTCACCGGCAGAGTGCTCGCCCAGCATGCCCAGAAGTCCTGTGCTCCCCGGAGAACGCTGGGACGCTGCCTGGCAGTTTCTTAAGACACAGAATCCACCACTCTTTACTGAGGCTTTTGTTTGTTTGTCTTTTGGGGGGTCGATTAGTAACCAAGTTCAAAACTCCAAAGCAGGCATGCTTAAAATAGCAGATTCCCATGCAACTGCCACAGGTACAGAAGGTTTACACACGAAACAGTGGTACACAGACATGCACACACACGCACACACACACGGAAGTCATGAGGTGAACTTCCAGAGTGCAAAATACGAACTCCGATGAAAACCCTCCTTTCTGTAAATGAACGGCCTGTTTTGCCACTTGCCCCTAACGTGACCAAATGGAAGGGAATCGGGTGCTGGGGATTTTACACTTGTCAGTTCAGAGGTTAGGGCTCCAGGCCCATTCACCCACGTTAATGATGCCCCCCAAGAAGAAAAAGTACAGGCAGGTTAGTGCTGGGAACCCCTCACACAACGCGGAGTCCGCTTCCTCCCTCCCCTCTGCATCCTCTCCAGTGTCCGCCTCTAACATACAGTGCACTGGGCTCCCCCCCAATTACTTTTGTTTTGTCACCAGTGTTTTGCTCGATGCTTGCTAAGTACTTGCGGCAGCAGAACGTGGCTGTCATAACCATGGAAGTGTGGCCAGCAGCCCCCTGTAGACGTCTGTCTCCGCGGCCCCGAATCCTCTGCCCACCGACCGACCCACCGACCGCCGTCTCCTCCAAGAACAAAAGCGGCCCAGCATCGCTTCCCGCGAGCGGAGCCCGAGCCCGCGTGCAGAGGTGCCCGCACGCCTCCTCCGGCCCGGCAGACAAAGATGTCTTTACATGGGAAATCTCCTCTTGGTGCCTTTTACAACTTTCTGGGTCTGATTTTCCATTTCCCATAAATCAAGACCCCAGTTCCCCCTGGGACGTGGGAAACCAGGCCGTGCTGGCCGCTTTTGTCAGCCCGCCAGAGGGTGGAGGTGAGTGGGGAGCTGGCCCTGCAGAGCCCACTGGGAAAGGGCCGTGATGCTGCAGGGCCGGGCCGAACCCCGGCAGCCCGTGCCCGACCCAGCTCCGGGCAGCACAGCTGGAGGGCATGCGAGGCCTCGGGGTCCCACTCAGTGGACAAGCATCCTGGTGGGAGTGATCAGGGCTGGGGCACACAGCCTGGGGACCACTGGGGCTCCCTGAGGGTCTGTCCAGTGCCCAGTGCCCACTGCACCCCCAGCCAGCCACCAGGCAGGGCAGTTACCAGCCAGGCCCAACATTAGGAAGTGGAACCCCAACTTAAATAAGTACTTTAAAAAGCAACGCTCAGAACCGCAGAGATTTCTCCCACACACACTCACTAAGTTGTGAGCCAAAAAATAAAAGTGTGTGTGTGAGGGGGGAGGCTTGTTTTCGCTCTCTTTTTTTTCAATAAAATAAAATAAAGCGAAAAAGGCCAAAGGAACTGGATCACCACACTTCGGTGTGGTAGCATTAGAGATGAAGCACAAAATACAAGAACCTCTGTGTGTGGACACAGAGTCCTGCCCCCAGCGTGCCCGGCCTGCCCTGCCCGCACCGCAGAGGTGGCCGGGAGGAGCCGAGGACGAGGCTGGTGTTTTTCCCCTCTGCTACTCCTGGCACCGCCAAAAATAAAAATAACAACAATGATAACCAGAACAGGGGGTGCCCTGCCCCCCAGCAAAGCAAGATCACCGGGTAAGAAAAGGTAGGCCTCCGGGCGCCTCCCGAGCAGCCGTGCAAACCCCAGCTGAACAGGCAGCCGCCGGGCAGCGGCAAACGTGCGTTTTGTTATGATCTCTGCACGGTGGATTTGGATCTTAAAAATAAATGGGCTTGGCCTCTGCCTCTGCCCGGCAGTTCTGGCAGAAACCGCTTGATGGTGTGCACGCCTGTGTGTGTGTGTGTGTGTGTGTGTGTGTGTGTGTGTGTGCGTGCGTGCGTGTGCGTGTGTGTGTGTGTGTGTGTGTGTGCGTGTGTGTGTGCGTGTGTGTGTGTGGCGGGGGAGGCTGAAACAGAATTTGGGGTTTCAGATAAACCAATTAGAGGAGGAGATGAACAGGCGTAAGCACAAGATGGCCCCAGGCTGCCTCCGGCAGGAGGAGGAGAGAAGGAGACTTACCGGGTGCCGGGCATGGAGATGACCCCCTGCCCTGGCCGGTCACCCTGGCAGCGGGGGGAGGTGGGTCCCGCTGGCCGGCTGGCCGCCTCGGGGTGTCAGCCCCCCAGCCGGCAGGCTCCTGGGCTCCCGGGCTCTGGCCACCCACGGTCCCCAAGCCCCCGGCCGCTCGGGCACCGGGGGGGCAGCGCTGCCAGGAGCGGGTGGCGCTGGGGAAAGGCCCTGCTGCGGCGGGAGGCCGAGGAAAATGCGACTTTTGTCTGCTGCTCTCATCTGGCACTGGCTGCCCGGGGAGGGGGGGCCAGAGGCGGCCGCTGCGCTCGGCCCCGCCCACCGGGAATTTTCGAAAGATGCTCTTGGGTGCCGGGAGGATGGCAGACGTGGCAGGGGCGGGTGGGCCGGGCCCCCAAACCCACCGCCGTAAGGGGAGGGGGCCAGCCGAGGGGGGAGGGGGGGACACGGCAGCGCCTGGCCCGGGCCTGGCCCCGGCGCCCGCCAGCCCTGTGGATGCGCGGCGTGGCCCAGGCGCCACGTTGCCACTGCTCCAGGGGCCAGACGTCCAGGCGGCCTGGCTCGTTCCAGATAGAGGCCACATTGTTCCCCTGCCCGGCTCGGCGGAGGACCGGGCTGTGGCTGGCACCCTGGCTGGCTCCTTCAAGAAGGAGCCGGGGACCCCATCCCGGATGCTCCCTGGCCACGGCCCTTGGAGCCACTCATGGCCAGAAGGCTGTGTCTCAAGGCTGGCTAACTGTGGGCAAGTCATAAGCCTCTCCAGCCTCAGTTTCCCCATCTGCACAAAGGAGGTGTTTAATGGCTCCTACCAATCAGGGCATCTGGGGTGCAAACAGAGGGCTGAGTGCCATGCCTGGTACCCACTGAATTATCCCGATGCCCACCAGGGCCAAGACGATGCTGGAAGCCAGGCAGCCATGGACAAAGAAGAGAGGGCGGAATGTCACCTGTCCCCCAGGACCCTCACACATCCTTCAGTGTCACCAGAGCCGCCACCATGGGGAGGGACAGCCCTTGCTCCTGTGCCCCAGCCTCTGCCCAGCTCTGCTGAAGTCCAACATGCCCCCTGCCCTGTCCACAGGCATCCTGCAAGGGCCACCAGGCCAGCCAGGCCTCGACTCGCCCTCTGTGTGATGCCAGCTGTACTCACACAGGACAGACAGCCTGGGCTGTGGGAAGTGGCACCCAGCAGCCGTGCCCCCCTCCGGGACGTGAGGTGTGGCAGGGCCAGCTGTGTGCCAAGGGAATGGTGGGCGGCTCCCCATGGAGGCTTGCACATCTGTACCCCTTAGGGCCTTCTGTGCCTGATGCCAGGTAAAGGACAGCCGGGCAGATGACCCTAAACCACCAGAGCCTCTTAGGTGGGCGCTTGGGCCAGCTGGGTTGTGTCCTACCCTAACACCACTCGGTGCCTGCTTGGAAAGCCCGGGTGGGGGTGGAGGAGGCGGAAGAGAGCAGACGGGAGGAACCCGGCCCTGCACTGGGCTCACGCACCCGGCCACGTGACTGCTTGCCAGCTGACGCCACAGACAAAGCAGGTAGGATTCCGATGCCATGAGCTTGACCAGGGACGCCGGGGACCTGTGCCAGGCATAGCTGGGCAGGGCTGCCAAGAACCCAACCCAGGAGGATCGGGTCCCACTCCAGGGAGCAGGTCTGTCCCCCAGTCTGTGTGGTTGGGGACGGGATCACCACTACCCGTGGGGTGGTTTCACAGGGGCCTGCGGGGTCAGCAGAGGCGCTGGCCCAGGTCAGGGCTGCAGGAGGGGCGCCCCCACCCCTGTGCCGCCAAGACCATGCGCAGCCATTGCCGTGTCCGGGACGGCCTTGTTCCCACAGGTGACCCTTGGGGACTCCAGCCAGAACCACCTCGGGCAGATGGGGTGGGCACACCCCACACTCACCCGAAGCTCCTCCCTCTGTGGGACCTGTGGGAGCCTGCAGCCTGGCTCCCTCCTTGTATTATAATTTAAAATGTAATTATAAAAGCCTGATTCGAATGTAAATCTATCTTGCTTAAACACATGAAAGGCATTTCTAAATTTAAGAGGCCCAAATCAGCAGGTAAATATTTTAGTGAAACGCTCTTCCTGACATCTGAAATCTCCGAGGAAAGGGAAGGCAGGCCACCGGAAAACTGTCCAGGCACCAGCAAGCCGGCACCAAGGCACAGCACCTCCTTTAACCTGGAGGAAAAAACCCGATTCTTCAGATGTAGACGGCCAGGCCTTTTTACTCTGTACACCTCCTGAGCACATTTTACAAACCCACCTCCTGATTCCACGACACTTCTGGGCACATCTCTGCTCAGTCACCCTCCCAGGCCCTGCGTGGACAGGGCGTCCCAGGCACCTGAGGACAGGGGCGTCTGGGCCACGGGGAGAGGGAGACCTGGAATCCAGGCTCCCACCGAAGTTTCCAATCCACAGGATGCCAAGACCAAGCTGCCCTCCATCTTGGAGCCCCTCACACACAGATCAAATACAAGGCTGTGTACTAGGTTTTTCTGGCTCATGGCACAAGATTTCATTGTTTTCCATGATTCTCATTTGGCCAGTTCACCCCACAGCCTCCCAGGCTGTCAGGACACCCCCAAAAGGGAACACATGGCCCTGCATTTAGAAATAAAGTAAAAGATACGATGGCCATTAAAAAATCATAAAATCTTATTTTGAAAACAAATATTATCGTTCGCCAACAAAGTCTTCTGGATGACCAAGAGGTGCCACTGAGAGGTCACACTCACCATCAGTAGGACCCTCCCTGTCTGTCCTCCTGCACTGGCCTGGCGGGGACATCTCGACCGAGGACCGCCTATGCTGGCAGTGTCACAGCCAGGATTCCTGTGGCCTTCCCACAACGCCGCTGGGCCCTGGCAGCAGGGCAGCCCACGGGCAGTCACCCCAGCTCCGTCTGTAACAAGAACCCGTGAGCCGGGCTCCTAGCCTGGCCACTTCGGGTGCCCACAGCTAGAGGCAGGTCTAGCTCGGTCCCCAGGCCCACACCACATCAGCGCAGGCCTCAGGGCAGAATCCACTCACTCGGTGAGGTCAGGACCCATCCGTCCAGCGTCCCCCCGCTGGTTGTCCTTGCCAAAAGACACAGAAACACCTTGTGCAGCTGGAAAGGTGTCTAAGGGCCATGCAGTCCCGCTGGCCCTCACAGTCACCCATCGGAGCACATGATTTGGGGTGGACCAAATGACTCTAGGAAACCTCCCCGTGGCCCTGCGGGGCCGGCCCTCTGCGGATCCGCCCTTCCTCTTCCATTTTGTGACCCTGCTGGTAGACAAAGGCCGCCAAGCCTCGGCCCTGTGGCCCAAAACCTGGCCATCTCTCCAGGACTCGGAGCCTTTAAAAAAAAAAATTGCAGAAGAAAAAAACTTGTGAAAGTTTAACCTCCACTCAACAAAGAAAGCCAGATGTGCCCACGGAAATTTCCCAGGAGCCACTCGGGTCAGGGGCTTTCTGTTTTCTTCCATAAATCTCTGACTAGGTGTCCAGGGCCTGCAATGCCCAGACCCCGGGGTTCCACCGATTGTCCTGGCCAACGGGACACCGGTCAGCCCTGAAAATAAATATTTCATATAAAAGATCCATTGTGTCTGTTTGGAGACAATTGTTGCTTTTTCCCCCTTCGTGGCTCCATCCCTTTAGAAGGCTCGGCGGGGGCCATTTGGGGTTCCTTCTTGTTCACACAAGAGGTTTTGAAAGGGTCAGCAGGCTGGGTGCTCCTGGATGACCCCCGAGAGATAAACTCCTCCAAAGCAAGCCATTTGGGGCGAGGGACCATCAGCTCAGCAGGGTGGCAAACGCTCCCATCAAAGTGCCACCTGCAAGTCCAGCCCCTGCTGGCTGGACAATGGCACCACTGTCGCCACTCTGGACGCTTGAGGGGAGCAAAGGTCAGACCCGGGACCTGCACACGGGGAGCCTCTGAAGGCCACCTTCAGGGAAGGGGCACCTCTGCATCGGGGCACGTCTGGGTCCCCGGGGGACCTATCCCGTGTCCTGCACCTGAGGTGAGGTACAAGGTGCATTCAGACCTCGTGGGGCAAGGAGAGCATGGGTGTGGTCAGTCCTCCCCCGCCAGCCCACCCCTCAAAAGCCACCAGGTCCACATCTGCCACCATCTGCAGGAAGGGACGTAAACCACTCACAGTTCGTGTCCAGGGAAACCAAATGGGATATCTGCTTCTCAGGCTGTAGTGCCACTCGTGAAGTAATAATAAGTGGTAACAATTAACAAAACATATTAGTGACCGGAGTCATTGTTGTTTAGAACAAGGACCAGACGGCAGCCATTTACTGCCCCAGACCACGCGCCGGGAGCCGCTCGGAGAGAAAAGGCTTCGGGAAAACTGTTGGGATCTGCTTTCCTGCTTGAGAGCTCAGGCAGCTGCTGGCTCTTGGTGGTGCTGGGACTCGCCCAGGGTCATGTGGTGAGCCAGGGCAGGGACGGGCTTGAGCTAGGGGAGCTGGGGTGCTCGGGGTGCTGGGGCAGCAGGCCCTGCCGTGACGGTGACTGCGCCCCCTTGCCGAGGGTTCTGAGTCCTCCTCCCTTCTCCCCCGTCCCTAACGTGCAAAGGCACCTTTGAAACCCAACCATGGCAACACACACATGGGCAGCGGCAGCTTCTCGTCCCTTCCCTCCTGAACGCCATCCCTCGCTGGGGATGCCAGGCTCTGCAGGACGAAAGGCACACCTGCCTGGCTGGTGCCCTCTGGGTGGGCAATGGCCTCTCAGCCCCTCTCTGCTGCCTCCCTGAATGACCTCATCCATGCTGGGCTGGGACGGGCTCCAGGACTGGAGCAGGAGTTTACAGAGAGGCTGCCCGGCCAGCTGCAAAGCGACCCCTCCGTGGAGCCCCAAGCTGGCTCTGCTGGGCAAAGCCAACGGCTGGCTGCACCTGCTTGGGTGGCAGGCTTGAGACCCGGCCACAGTGGAGCCCAGCCGGGCCCTGGCCAGCGACCTGGAGACTTCTCCTCCAAGCAGGTCTGCAGCGTGGCAAGGGCCTGGCACTGGCATGAGGCTCCGTGGGCTTGGTCCTGGAGGTTGACACAAAAGCTGAGGTCTACCCTCCCACCAGCCACCCCTCCTGCAGTCATTCCTCCAGGGCCCTGTGCACCCCGTTCCTTACATAAAACCAGTCGTGGGAAAAATCAGACAAGCACTTTCGTTTCCGGGGCCTCCTGTTTTGTGGGTGTGTGTCCTCCAAATAAACGTGGACATAGTGCATTCCAGCGTGGCCAGGCCCGTCTCTGTCTGCGGACCTGGGGGCACTCTGGGAGCCTGGACAAGTGAGACCTCACCGGGGCCCGGTGCCGCCTGCTTACTCAATGCCTAGCTTTGCCCCTGGCCTAGGGAGAAGCAGAAACAGTGGCCTGTCTTGAGGTCTGCATTAAACCTAAGCAATGCCCAGGGCCCCGAGCAGGACACCACACCATCGCTGCCCAGCACTGGCTTCCCGTGGACCAGGGTGAATATCTCCAGCATTCTGCAGGCAAGGCCACCACAGAACCCAAAGCTTTGCACAATGAATCTCACCACTGCCAGCACCATGCCCAGCAGCCACTGCAGCCAGGCTGGTACGCCGTCAGCGGCCGCACCTCTGCTTCGGAGATCACCCTGAGATGCCACCCAGTTTCACGTCTGCCAGCTGCCTCCAATAAACTGAAAACTAAAAATTCAAAATGGTGCTGGGGGGGTCAGCCCCGGGAAAGCAGACTGGCAGATAGGTGGCAAGCGTTAGCCCTCTGAGATGGGAACAAACCTCCGGCCTCCTCCTCGGCTGGCCGGACCCCGCTGAAGTGGGGTTCTCCCCAAGGAGCACAGCAGCCAGAGGAGGGCCCGGTCCACTCAGGCCCTCTCTGCAGGACTCCAGGGTGTTACGGAAAGGGGGCCCCACCCTGTGAGGGCAGTGAAAGCGCCCAGCCAGGGTAACCGAAGCACATCAACAGGGTGGACAGAGCAGGGGAATCGCAGCCGTGGCCTGGTCGAATTAAAAACAAGCAGGCTTATCTCTACCAGCCATGGGTTTCATTTTAACCCAGGATAGGTGCTCGCAAGCACAGGCACACGTTTTAAAAATCCCAAACAGGCAGAACTGATGAGCTAAAATAAAACCAAGCCACTGCTGGCCTACGGAGACCGCCTCGGCTTTCGAAACCCAACTCTGAAGAAATTAATTTCAGCGTTCCCTTAAAGCCCTATAATTAGGGCAAGCAAGCATTCCTTCACCCCTTTCCTGCTCCCCACAACCTCCTCGGGGTGGCTGGCCAGGCCCGTGTGCGAGCCACCTATAAAGGGGCATTTATTACAAAAAGTTACGAGTTGTTTTTCGTTTTATGTTACCATAAACAACAGCTTCTGCGTGAGGCCCTTTGGTCCACAGCCGACTGCCGCTAACCCTGGACCAGGGTCTCCCCGAAATCGGCCCTCGGGATGCCCCACCAGCAGGATAAACAAAAAGGAGGCAGAGGAGAAGGAAAAGGAGGAGGAAGAGGAGGAAAAGGAGAAGGAGGAGGAGGAGGAGGAGGAGGAGGAGGAGGAGGCCCTTTAGGAACTAGATGGAAGGTAAATCAACTAGTTCAATTGTACAGGGGCTGTGACTCCAAATAACCTTCCCAAACATATCCAACAGATATTTCCTCTATTGTTCAAGGTGCCTGGTAATGCTTATTTTACGTCGTCAACAAAGTCCTCCCTGGCTAGCAGTCCGCACACCTGAGCCGCGAAGCTGTAGTATTTCACAATCCCAGTTCCCAATCGATCGATCGAGGACGACCCCGGAGTTGTCGCAGGCTGGCGCGGCTTCGGGTTCCCAGACAACCTCCTTCGGTGCCCGGATACTTCGCAAGGCCTGCCCCGCACGCAAGAGGGCCCCTCTTTCCAGATCCTTTCATTAATATTTAAATACAAAGTAGCGAAAGTGAGGAAACACTTACCCTGCTTCGGAGTCGCCGGGAAGCTGATCGTGCCCGCAGCGCGCAGGTCCACGGCGGTGCCTTCGCCGGGCGGGCGCTGCGCTCACGTGTCCACGCCGCCCAGGCCCTGGACCACCGGCCACGTCGCGGTGTCCGGCGCTCGCTGCCTCCTGCGTGGGGACGGCGGAGCGCAGCGCGGCGCGGATCCCGCAACTCCGGGCACGGCGCCCGCGAGCGCACGCGTCTCCAGGCCGGGCTCCGGCGCCACACGCTCGGTGCCTCCGGCGGCCTGCAGCCCGCGATCCCCGCATCCGCGCCCGGCGCTGCCAGGGACCTTTGTCCCAGACGAAAACGAAAGCGCGCCGGCCGCAGGGCGCCCACGCCCTGACGCGGAGGGCCCGGCCCCGCGCGCCCCGAGACTTTCTCCAAGTTCGCGTGCACCGGAGCGGCCGCGTGCTGGGACCGCGGCGTGGCCGTCGGGCGGGCGCGGCGAGCTCGGGCGCGGGCCGGCCACAATGGGCGCACAAGGCGGGCGCGGGGGGCGCGGGCCCGGCCGCTCGGCGGCTGCCCGGGAGCCCGAGGCGGCGGCGCTGGGCACAGACGCGCCGCGCGCCCGGTGCATGCTAATGGCCGGCGGCCGCGCCATGAATTATTCAGCAGCGGCGCGGAGGGCGAGCGGGCGCGGAGGGCGGCGGGACCCGCGTCCCCCTCCGCTGCCGAGCGGCCCCGGCCACTTCCCAAACTTTCCGGAGTCTGCACCGAGGATGCGGCCCCTCGGCGCCGACGTCCCCGCCCGAGCGCGCCGGCCGCGCTTCCCCCGTTGCCGCCTATTTTATGTCTTTTGTCTCGGAGTTGGCACCTGTCCCAGAGAGCGCGTTTCCCTGCCCACCCCTTCGCCGCCGGATCGGGGCGAGGGAGGGGGTCCTGGGGACCCGCGGAGAAGGGGGCGGGAGCGAGGGGCGCCCGCGGGCCTCGCAGCCTGGGGAGGCCGCGCGGGGGGCACACCGTGCACCGGGTCCCGCGGGGAGGTCACGGCTGCGGACGCGCGGGGAATACCAACGAGGCCGTGCCCGCGGCGGACGAGCACCGGGCGCCGCCCCTCCCGGGCTCCCCCACCCCACCCGGGACGGCGCGCCGGGGCTGGGCGGGCGCTGGGAGCCGCGGATTCGCCGCCCGCGCCCCGCAGTCCCGTGTGCGCGCCCCCGCCGCCCCGGGCGCTCCCTGCCCGCGCGCCCCCGCCCGCGGTCCCGCTGCCCGCCCTGGCCCGCGGGGCGCAGCTCCGCCGGGACCCTTGGGCCTTCCGCGGCGCACCCCGGGGCCTGCGCGGCCGAGGGGTGCGGGCGGCGCGCTCCCCCGCCCTGGCACCGAGGCGGCAGCTGGGGCGCGTTCGGCGGCTGCGCTCCGAGGCGCCGGCTGCCATGATTGCGGGCAGCGGGGCGCGCGCGCGCTCGGGCCGGCCTCGGGGACCTTGCGAAACCACGATCGCCGGTTGCGTGTAGCCTCGCGGCTGCTCCCGACTTCACACTGCGAGCCGGGGCTGCTGGGCTCGTTTCCGCGGGGCTGGACCCTGGGACGCGCTCGGGGCCCACGGTGGCAGCAGCTTCCCGGGGCGAGGCGCGCGCACCGGCGACCCTGCGGCGACTTCCCGGACCAGGCTGGCTTAGTGGAGCGAGGGGCG